CCCGCCACACACCCACAAAGATTTGTTATTTAAGACTTTTTGCAAATGCGTGCCTCATAGCATAATAATGTGCTACATAAGTTTTGTAACATAAATAATCTACACTCGGAACCTTAGAACTTTCTTCTAAATCATATAATATAGACACGACAACCCTCATGGAAAAAAACGGGGCGCTGCACAGTGAAATTGTTCTGTATTGGTGTAATTATGGGTTGGCGTATTTATGTGTATGTATCTATCTCTATACGTGTGTATTTATAATTATGTAGTTATGTATATATTTTCCATTGTAAACTCAATTATCCTTCTGAAATCCAAAAAAATGCTATTTATTTATTCATTCATTTATTTTTTTGTTTATTTATTTACTTATTTGTTTATTTATTTATTTATGTATTTATGCATTTATTTGTTTATTTGTTTGTTTGTTTATTTATTAATTAATTTATTTATCTATTTATTCCGATAAGCAGATCTATTTCGTCAGTCAACAGTCAAAATGTGTTAACCCTAAAGTTTTTTACGTTTTTTTATTTTCATTTTCCTGATTCATGGAATCAGATACTTCTGCTAAAGAAATATTTTTTTGAAATTCAAATTCTGTATAATATGTTGTTAAAATGCAAGAAAGAATATATAATGTAGGTACAAACAAAGGCACTTTACACGAATGTTCCTCATTCCATCCGGGTGGGAATGGGCACCCAGCTATAGACAGTGAAAGAGCGTATCCGATTGTCAGTGATTGAGTGCTCAGTCAGCTGCTTGCAGTGTATGCTTTCCTTGAAGCTGAGGGTATTTCTGAGTGTTCTATGGTCTGCTGGGTGAATAATACATGTATAGTGTAAAAGCGCGTAAAGCTTGCTGTCGAGCGGGGATATACACTGTGCAAATGCTATTTCTTATGATTATTATTACAATTTTAAAAGAATGAAATATGTGGGGGGTTCTCTCTCCTGTTAAATTTCGCTTTCTGCACATAGTACATTTTGTGCAGATATTAGATTATTTACCACATACAATATAAGTTCTCAGGACCTCAGAACTTTTAAATAAACGATGTTCTGATACGCAGATCTATATCATTATTATTGTCTTTCGCTAGACAGAGGAAACCACTGCACTGACCTTTCAAGTACCACATGATACTTTCCAGTGGCCCCTTAGGGTGATCAGCGTGTTGTTTGGGGTCCTTGTTCGAACCGGTGCCCAGCATCATCAACTCATTGGACTCATCTTTGTTCCTTTTCTCCCTGGTTGAAAGAGTTGTGATATGTGTTGTTTATGACGAGGATGATGGTGGGGGTGGTGGTGGTGATAGTGTTGTTGCTATTGTCGTTGCAGTTGTTGTTGTTGTTGTTGTTGTTGTTGTTGTTGTTGTTGTTGTTGTTGTTTTCTTCTTCTTCTTCTTCTTCTTCTTCTTCTTCTTCTTCTTCTTCTTCTTCTTTTTCTTCTTCTTCATAATGATGATGATATGAAGATTTCTTTCATCTTATCTTGACTAGTCTTATCTTACCTATATATGTTGCATTAGTTTAACCTCTACTCCTTATGCTATCTTTCTCTGTGTTGTCCTCTCTTACCCATACCCGTGTTATAACAACCTGTATATCTACAATATGTGACCTTGTCTTATCTTTCTTTACGCTATCAAAACTTACCTGTCTCTGTTTTATCTTACCAAAATAATATTTTAAGGGTCTTTTTCTAACCTTTATTTCTTACATCTTTTCCTATCATAGCTGTCTCTACCTTCTCTTTCTCTTTTTTCTATCTTCTCTTATTTTTTCAGTTTCAATGGTCTTTTATCGTATCCCTCTCTGTCTAACCATATCCTGTTTTGTCTTCTTTATAGTATTATTCGCTTATTTTGTCGTACGCCTCTGCATTTTTATCTTTCCATTATCCCTCTTTATTTTTTTCTTATCTTATCCTCATCATCCCTTGCCATATCTACTCTTATCTTATCCTTTTCTTATCTATTGTTCCTTAACATATCTTGGGTTAACCTCTCTGACACTCCACAGTAAGAGCATGGTTTCGAATCCAATCACGGCCCGACGTCATGTCCTCACGACAGGCATTACGAATTTTCCCCCAATTCGCCCACGAAGGAATGGGCACCCTGCTATAGACAGCGAAAGATCTTGTCGGTTTGTTAGTGTTTTAACGCATCTTATCCGCAGCTCGCATTGAATACTTCCCAGAAGAAAGCCGAGAATTTTTCTGGGTGTTTTAGGGTTTACTAGCTGTAAATAGCATAGAGAATACTGTAGAGGGTGGATACGAGCTGCAAAAATACAACTATTGTTATCAGCTTATCCTTCTGTTTCGCCTCTTATTGTATCTTTCTCGATCTTAACGTTTGTTTTTCCATTGTAACTTTTACTTTTCTAAGTGCTCTTATCGTTCAACATACGTCCTTATAGCTCCTCCTTTTTACTCTTAAAACATTTAAATCTTCGGCATTTACATGACCTAGATCTAATTGTGTAGCAAGTGCCTTAAAACTTTTACTAAAACTTTTTTTTTAACCACTTACGTGGGCTTGGCCATGGGGTCGATCCTGGGCTTGTTCCTGGGCAGTTTCCTCGGGAAGCAGAAGAGAGGGAGGGAGACAACAAAGGCCAGCAGGCCGAAGACGATGTAGCCAAGCCACCAGGCGCCGATCCACTGGGGGTGCTTGGGGTGAAGGTCGGTGGCTGGGGACGAGACGTTACGATTTGCTGTTGTTGTTGCTGTTGTTTTGTTGTTGTTGTTGGTGGTGGTGGTGGTGGTGTTGTTGTTGTAGTTGTTGTTGTTGCTGCTGCTGCTGCTGCTGCTGGTGGTGGTGGTGGTGGTTTTGTGTTAGGGTTTTGTTTTTTGATTTTGTTATTGTTGTTGCTGGTGAGGGGGGGGGGTGATAGTGGTGATGGTTGTGCTGTTGTTTTTGTTTGATTTTTAATGTTGTTGTTTTATGGGGGCGGCGGGGTCTTTTTATTGATTTTTTGTTGCTTTTTTTAAAATCTTGATATGTTATTTCTGTTGTTGTCGATGTTGGTTTTGTTCTTCATGTTACTGTTGTTGTTGTTGTTGTTGTTGTTGTTGTTGTTGTTGTCGTTGTTGTTGTTACTGTTCTGTTTTTGTTACTGTTGTGACTCTTTTTTCCACATCAGCGTCTGTGATCTTGTGGTAGGCCCTCCGCCATCGCTCGCAGAAGCCAGGACTTCGATTCCTGTGTGGGAAGAATGTTTTTTCTTTCGAGTATCTTGGACTTTCTGCTGGGACGTTGTATTCCTTTCAGGCTAGATTGGCTCTGGCAAGCAGGATCTAAGCTTCCCCCCCCCCGCCATCGGTATTCTGGATTGTCATAAACTCATACGTTTTTAATTGGTATCGTTCTTGCTGTTGTTGTTATTGTTGTTATTGCTAATGGCAATTGTAGTGGTGATTTTGATGATGTCATATATTATGGTTCTTTTTATCATTATTGGTGTCGTTATTACTCCTTTTGTTGTTGCTTTGGTCGTTGTAATTGTAGTCGTTGTTGTTATTATAATTGTGGAAGAGCAAAAGTAAATGATCCCCCATCAGCCCACCGGGCTAAAAGGATAAATTTCTAGAAGGGTTAGAGCAATATTTCTGGACCCGCTGGGATTCCAATTTTAACTTGTAAGTGTTAGTTTAACTATTTAATGACGTCATCTTCATCCTCATCATCATCATCATCATCATCATCATCATCATCATCATCATCATCATCATCATCATCATCATCATCATCATCATCATCATCATCATTCCATTTCTCACCCTTGATCAGGGAATAGGCCACGAATCAACACTTTCCACTTTTCCCTATCCTGGGCTAGCCTCTTGATGTTATTCCATGTCTTCCCACTTTTTCTGTGACTCTTCTCCAAGTCCCACGTGGTCTTCTTCTTGATCTCTTACCCTGTGGGTTCCAATCTAACACTTTCCTTGTTATGCAGCTGCCTGACTTCCTGAGAGTATGTACAAATGACGTGGCCAACGCATGACGTCCGATCAGCCGCAAACCAAAAGCAATGTTGCCACACAATATCAACTCTCACACACCCAATGTGGGTGGTTTGCGGGTGCACTAGTGTTTCCAATCAAATATCTATCGTACTTATCTGCCCTCTTTCTTTTTTTGTGTGTGTTTCCTAGAAACATATACAATGTGCATGTACTGTTCAATCCGCGGTCATCTTGGCTATCAAATGAAATCGTCTGTGTCTATCAAGGATTTAATCATCAACAACAACAGCAACAACTACAAACAGCATTACCACAGCCATCATCAACAAAAACAACAGGAACTAAACAAAAATTCCACTGCTGGCATCAACAATAACAAAAACTACAACAACAATACCACTGCTAACACCACCAACAACAATAACAACAACAACAACAACAACAACAACAACTATAACAACAATAGCAGTAGCAGCAGCAACAAAGAAAACATAGTGTTTCAAAACTGAAAAAGCAGGAGCAATGAAATACCTTCGAGAGTGACGTAGATCCGAGTGAAGACTCCACCAATCAGAAAGGCCAAAGCTGGTCCAAGAATACCCACTGTGATGATAATCCCTGAGAAGATAATATGTGGAGAAGAGTTGACCCTAATGTTATCAATACGTGCAACGTCAGTCTCACTCGAAAGAAGATCCGTGTAATAGAGTGAGTCTATTTCTTCCTTTCCCCGGGTTTTCTTCAATAATTATGGAAAACCTGGAAAGTGACTTAAACCAAAATAATTATAGTAACCTATAAGAGTTGCCTTGAACAAGGGTTTGGCGAAGTTACTGAGGATCAGATGGGCAGACACTAACTAACGAGGAAGTATTAAAAAGAACAAGACAGAGTGCAGTCAAAGATGAGATGGGAAGAAGGCGGTGGCAATGGATTGGACATACTCTCAGGAAGTCAAGCAGCTGCATAACAAGTAAAGTGTTAGATTGGGACCCGCAGAGTAAAATATCAAGGGGAAGACCAAGTTAAACCTGGAGAAGAGTCACAGAAATTGATGTACAGTAAAGTAGTAGGAAGACGTAGAATAACATCCGGCGGCCAGCCCAGGATAGGGAAAGATGGAAAATGTTTGTTCCTGGCCTATATCCTGATTCAGGGTGAGAAATGCAATGCTGATGATGGTTAGAGTCACGCTAAGATTAATACAATTGATAATAAAAGGGATAAATTGAGGTAGGAGTAAAGGAGCTGTTTCGAGATAAGTATGAAAAAAACTAATTATAGGAACGGATGGCAACACCTGATTACAGCTTTTGAAGACCTATATTTGATACATATTTACGAAACACATATCTGATTTGTAAAATTGGTGAAATTGTTTCAGTTTAACCCCCTGTCAACATTATTAGATTATTTAAGAGGCGGGACCTCCGAGTGTAACGTCCATCTCCGAAAGGACCGAGCCAAGTGGGAAATTCATGTAGAGTGCCTTCCCAAAGACGCAACGTCGAACCGAGCTAAGGCTCGAACCCCCAACCCCCAATCTCACGATTACGGGTCCGGTAGCTGAACCAGTACGCTATCGACGCCACCTCTGATTTGTGATCCAATATAAAAGAGCAGCATAATTGTAAACGTGGGTCTGACATGCCTGCACAGAAATAGCTTACGAGTTTATGATCATTTGAGTAGTTCTATGGAAAAACTCATCACTTATTCAAGATCAGATTAAATAGATCATGTACTAATAAGACTATAAGACACCGTTCCCTATAGCAAAGGGCGGACAGGTGGACCTGTGATGTATTGTTTTAAATCGTATGAGCTGGCGAGCACCGTTATTATGCCGAAAGAGACATTGTCATTTCATATCGATAAGATAAGACGAGATAAGGCAGATAAGATAAGATTATGTAATTAGATTAGGTAAGATACCTCTTCATTGTCCAGATCCTGGCAGATTAGTTTGGTGTTTCACCTCGTGCACATACAAACACACACACACACACACACACACACACACACACACACACACACACACACACACACACACACACACACACACACACACACACTTTTGCCTGTTGTTGGGGGACTATTTCGTTCGAAACAATCAACGATCATGTCCTGGTTTCACAAAACAGACATAAAGAAAGACAAGGAT